AGGGTGGCGGCGATTGGAGGGTGGTGGCGGGCTGGCGGCGACAGATTGGTAACTGGCGGCGGTGATTGGTGACTGGCGGCGCGATTGGAGGGTGGCGACTGGCGGATCGTGACTGGCGGCGGGCTGGCGGCGACTGGTGACTGGCACGGCGACTGGAGGCGCGGCCGGCGATGGCGTGCTGGCGGCGGCTGTGCTCTGGCCGACGACGACGGCGACTCTGGTCTGGTCTCCGAGGAATTCGCCAATCGCCAGTAACGAGAGAGAGGTCGGAGAAGATGAGGAGGAGGAAGGAAAACGAGATGTTGGCGGCTGTCCACGATTGAGCCGAGTAAATAGGGTTAGGGTCGTTTCTCACTTGCCAAAACGACGTCGTATAGCTCGGTCGGTTAGAGCCGGTTAGCCGGTTAACCGGCTTCGTTTACTCGGCTAACCCCCCGCCCAGAACCACTTACCGCCCACCGACCGAGAGTGCTTTCCTTCGGTTTTCGGTTAGCCGCTAACCGGCGGTTACCGGTTAGACAGACAGGTTAGCCTCTAACCAGAAACCGAAATGACACCCCTAAGAGCAACCCACGAACAGAGTTGCACACCTAGAACACACAGAGAAGAAAATTAAGAGAATATTCAGCACACACGAATATTTACGTGGTTTCCAGTGTTGAGACAATAAGAATCTCAACACTGACTACTCCACGACCGAAGAATCACGTTGTGTGATCTTTGGCGTTTCACTAAATAGATATATCGTTAAAACTCTTTGAATACAAATGTACACCCGATTAGCTCCCCATCCAATCGATCAAATCCAATCCCCTTGATCAACTCCCTATCGATCAAGAACCCAATATTTTCCCACACCGTAACCCAAGCTTTCTCCCTGATAGCTTGAACTCTCTTTTTCCTATAAAACACTATCAACTACCCTTAGCTCTCTTGTTTTGATATTCCTGGAAAAAGGTTGATCTTCCCTTCCCACACTAAGACTTCTTATATCCTCACGAAATCGACCGTTGCAGTTGAGAACTTCTTGTCATGTTGAGTCGATTCTGAATCTTCTTGAAAAAGGTAAGTTTCTTCTTGCTTCTCAATCTTCTCACTCTGCCGTTCAGTTTAAATCCTTTCCATCTTTGAGCGAACCATATTGTGAATTTACTTGAGCAGCAAAGTTGTGGGATTGCGTTGAAATAGCTTGGTCTCTAAGCGAATTTTTATTCTAGCTTCGTACAATCTGCAAAATATTTAAACTCTGCTTCCCTGCAATCTCAACCAAACCATTAGACTTGATATAATCAACTCATGGCAGTGTTAGCTTGTCGAGCACAACAATAAGCTTATTATTGTAGTCTTTCGTGCACTTTGTTATTTGAACAATAGATTAAATTAGCCTCATAAAGTTACTCGGCTAAGTACCTAACACAACCATCCTAACTGCTTTGCTAATGAGAAGCTTTTTCTCCCAACGCTACTTTGGGTAGGGTAACAGATATGCACTATCCGTCCTTGATCCGACCATGTGCCATCCCTAGACCCAATAACAAACTGATCAATGAAAATTGAAAGGTAATAAAATGGTCACATTAATCATGATACATATCAATATATCACTAGGTATTGTAACCCTAAATTGGGTTCAGTTCAATTATTTTTTAGAATATGGATCTTTCCGTATTTGGGAGCGGTTATAACCTTGTATGTCATTCACTGGGTGTTCCAACGATTGTTCGAGATGGAGGTTGGTCAAAAACTTATGGATGTTGATCAGGTGGTGGTGTTCTTTGTTGAGGATGTTGAATCAGAAATGAAGTGGGCTAGACTAAGTCTGTGGGGAAGGCCATTCATGGAAAATCATCTGAGCTTGTCTTTGATTCAGAAGATAGTGAATGGGGCTTGGGAGTGTGCTCCGAAGGTGAATGATTTGGAGGCTGAGATGCGGTTGATTTAGTTCTTCTTTGGATCGGAAGGTGATATGAACTGGGTGCTCCAACGCTCTCATTGGACAATCAAGGATCATGTTCTGCACCTACAGCCTTGGGAACTGATCACATATAAGGTAGTTGATTCCTTCATTCATGTGTCATTCTGCGTGCAGATGTGGGGTATTCCCACTCACCGTCGTACGAGTGCATTCGGGAAACGGATGTCGGAGGCTAAGCTGGGTGAAGTTATTGACGTTGGTACCTTTGCGATGAAAGGTAATCCCAATCACTTTATTAAGGCGAAGACCAAGATTAATGTTTTGGAGCCATTACGTTCTCAACCCTTTGCAAGTAATTTGGTGGTTGGAGAATTCGGTTTACATTGATCTATGAATTTCTCCCGATGTATTGTTATCACTGTGGAAGGTTGGGTCATATGGGAAAGCATTACAAATTCCTAGATCCGGTTGGTCTGAAGAACTATGGACTTGAATTGTCGACTAATATTACGGGTCATAAAGTGGGTGAGAGGGTTTGGATTAATCCCATTTAAAATTCACTGTGGATGAATCCTAATCTACAATGAGACAAGAAGATAGAGGGTTCTGAGATAGATTGTGAGGATCTTAATGTTGTTGGCGCGGAGTCCCATCGTCTGATTGTTTTGGGATTAACTGCGGAACAAGGAAAGAATGGTGAGCCAGAGCGTCAGGTTCCTGGTAACTATGAGAAGTAGGCAGAGGCTGTGAAGAATACAAAGTACAAGGATGGGGCTCATGGTAGGACAGAACCTTGTTCTGACTCGGGTGTCGTCTTTTATCATAAAGCGCATGTCTTGCATCATAAAGCGCAAGACTATGCTGGCGGTGGTAGATGGTGGGCGTGTATGCAGGGGCGGAGGAAGAATGTTAGAGGGTGAGTCCCTAGCTCAGGAGTTAAAATGGTATATTAGGTATAATAGGTAAGAAAAATAACACATATATAAAAAAGAATGGTTGACATTTGAAATATTTGATGTATGATTTATATGTTGTGTATTGACATATTGATTGTTTTATAACGAGCTACGTACAAATGACAATGTTGCATATGATTCATCCAAAATTAAAGATGTATTTATTCAACATCTAAAAAAATTCCACCAAATCATAGCTAGTTTGTAAAAGTAATTTTATTTCAATCAGGTATAGGGAGAGTGTAACGGTTGGTTCCAAATGACGAAAATGAATAAATTAGTATGATAGTTAATTAAGAATGAAATCTAGAGCACTTCTAATTGAGAATGGTTGATCGAGAGATTATGTGTTGGTGACCCAATTTGTTAAGCACATGATATTCAATTTGCAAAAAAATTAAGCACGTATAAGTTGGTTTTGGTTAGCAGGGAAGTGTTAGTAAATACAAAATACTACAAGATCCATTATTAAATCAAACCCAACAACTCGAGTAATTGATGTTAAACGACACTGATAAAGAACACCATTCAAAATCAAAGTCTAACTAGACAATAAATAATTGTTTGATACATATGAAGTGATATTCTTGATAGTTTTGACATAAATTTAGTTTACCATGTTTTTGTAAATACAAAATTATATCATGAATGGTTTAAAAAGCTAACAAAACTATTTTATCGTACGTATTTTTTTTTCTAAATGGACCCACTCTCAACAAAATTCTAGCTACGCCCCTGCATGTATGGGAGGTTTTGGGGCTAGGAAGAAAGTCCAGACTTGTGGACGAGGAGCAAGACAAGTGGTTGTTGGGATTCAGAGGTTTGAATCAAAGAATGGGAAGATTGTGGGGGCAGCGACATGGGGATCCTGATCTGGAGAAAAATAAAGCCCCACTGCGTCCGAATGCTAGGATTAATATTAAGAAAGAGGCTTATGGGGTCAAGTCAGATGAGGCGGTTGTAGGGAATAGTGTTGGTAACTTGCAACAGCTACCAAACTAAGGTGTGCCAGAGAGCAAGAAAGCCTTCAAGATGACTTCACCAAAGCTGGAAGAGGCTTATGCGACGAAGAGAGTAGTGACAGTTGTTAATGGTCTTCCACCAGATCCTACGCAACTAAAGAATGGCTGAGTTGAAGTTGAAAAGGATGGAGTGGGGATGATATCCCCCTTCCACCAGAAATTGGGGAAATGGTGGACAAGGCAGGGTGGAGTGATGCGAATAGTGGTGGTGTAAAAATAGAAAAGGCAGCCGGTTATGACAGGGCCCAAAGTGATAAATGAGACTAGTTGCTTGGAATGTGGGGTGAATAGGATCTTCCCTCACATTTCGTGCTTTGTTAGACCTGTGTAGGATGAATCATCTAGAGCTCTTGTTTCTTTTGGAAACTAGATCGTCTAGGAGACTAGTTACCCGACGTTTGCGAGGGTTAGGATTTGAGTATTTTTTTTCTAGTGGAGGATGTTGATTCATCGGGGGGGGGGGGGGGGGGGGGGGGGGGGGGGGGGGGGGGGGGGGGGTGGTTTAGCTTTGGGTTGGGATCCTGGCATGAATGTAACAATGTTTGCTTCTTCTTTTTTATTGCGTGTGGTGTTTTGAATGAGAATGGAGATTTGCAGTATGCGGTTGTTGGTGTTTACTTGTCTTGTTTTAGTGTTAGTCATTTGCAGCAGGTTCGTGAGTTGGTTACTTGTTGTGTGGCTTGTTGGTTCCTTTTGTGATGGTTGGAGACTACAATGGTGTCTTATGTTGTACATAGAAAAGTCGGGGACTTCCATGGTCTCCTGATTCGGCTATGGCCCTTCGGGAATGTAAGGATTATTTGGGATTGCAGGATTTGGGGTATAGTGGGGAGTCCCTTTACTTGGACAAACCATTGTATGGGATGTGCTTGTATTTCAGGAAAGGCTTGACTGAGTTTTGGCATCCAATTCTTGGTTAGAGTTTTTCCCCCAATCCTTTGTAAGACACTGTTAAGATTTGGGGTTGGATCATCGAGCGTTAATGGTGGCGGATAAGCCATTTGTGAGAAATCGACCGCTCTTTCGATTTGACGCTAGATGGGCGGGGAATCCTGAAGTTAAAATTTTTGTCCAGTATATATGGGCTAAGGAAGTTATTGGTTCTCCGATGTTTAAATTGTGGACGAGATTGAAACATCTTCTACACTTTTTATACGATTGGAGTTGAGCTTGTACTGGGAATTCTGCAAGGAACATTTGGTCATTGCAGGATGAGATTGACGTATTGAAAGCCGAACATCCTGTGGACTGGGAGTACATTGGTAGACTTGAGGCTGAGCTATCGAGATAGTGGGCAGCAAAAGAAGTATACTGGCGGCAAAAATTGAGCGTCCGATGGATGCGAGAAGTGGATAGTAATACGTATTATTTTCATACTGTGACGAGTGTGCAGAATAGGCGAAATTATAATATCGTGGGGCTCTGGGATTTGAGGGATGAGTGGATTACATATGAAGCAGCTTCTGTGGTGGGATTTTATGAGTCTATGTTTCTGTTAGAATGTTAGATTCCTGATGCGAGGGATCAAGTGATGGCCTTGCCGATTGCTTCTAAAGTTTTGGTGCATGATAATTTGGATTTAACATCCCCAATTTCGGCATAGTAGATTAGGAGAGTGGTGTTTCAATTGGGCCAACGCATGCGCCTGGATCGGATGGGTTTACTGGTAAGTGTTTTAGAACTTAGAACTATTATGTAATGAATGAATATGTTAGGATTTTGAATGAATGTGTTTGTCTAATTGATTGGGATAACATAAACTTCATCCTCTTCAATGCTCTTGACCTTAATCCCTAAATGCCATGTCTCGTTTGAGGTTTGAAGTCTATGAGAATAATTTAATTTTATAAAATTATAGATAATATTTATTTTCAATAAAAATTTTAATGATGTTAGAGACATCGTTAGCTATCATAAGTTCATAATGACATGCTAATGTAGACCTCATATCAATTTCACATATGCACGTCATGTCATTTGTCAGCGACAATGAAGTCGTCGGAAGTGATTTTGACAGTCCGTCCACGAGGGAGAGCAAGGAAGACGACGAGGTGCTTTTGAGTCTCATTTTTCTCTTTCCTGTTTCTGTGGAAAAGCAAATGATTGTCAATGGAATTACGGGGAAAAAAGAAAACCCTAGGAGGAATAAAACTAATGGAACTTTCAACCACATAAACAAGATTTAACGGAACTGCTTTTGCCATCCAATTGGGTGGCTAGCCAGTTTGGACCGGTTTCATGATTACTAGGCTTGGATAAGATGTAATACATTCAACTAGTGCCACGTCACCATCTATGTGGACCAATCAAATACAACAACACCGATGTCACACTTTTAACAATGGCATTGTAGTTTCGTCAGGGATTCCGACCCCCAATGCTGGGCTTACCAGTTCCTGCAACAAAGCCCAGCCCATTATCATCTAAATCTCCCTTCTGCACTGGAGCCCGGAAGTAGTTCGGCCCAGCCCATTGAAATTTAAACCCGGACCGGCGGACCCGCATCCAACCTCCGCCTTGAGCCTTCCCTAACGAATTACCCCGCCTTCCAGAATTATCTGGTGCTTGCTTCCATCTTTCTCACAGTCACCGTCTTTTTTAGAACTCTCTGCACCAATCTCGATTTCTCTACCTCCTTCCACCAACCTCTCAACTCTTCCATCACTCCCTTTTATAATTCTGCTCCAATGGCCGTCCTGCTATCTCAACTCAGAACTCAATATCAACGCTATACTCAAAAGTCAAAACCCTACATTGCATTATCCTTCCAAATTCCAATTTCTCAAATCACTCCCTCCAAGCTAATCAGAGCAACCAAATTTCCTTCAATCCGACGAAGAGTCTGCAATGGCGCCCAAAACTGAAGGCAAGGCTATCGGCATTGACCTTGGCACCACCTACAGCTGTGTTGGGGTCTGGCAGAACGACAGGGTGGAGATAATCGCCAACGATCAGGGCAATCGCACCACTCCTTCGTATGTTGCCTTCACCGACACAGAGCGACTCATCGGCGATGCGGCCAAGAACCAGGTCGCCATGAACCCTCACAACACCGTCTTCGACGCTAAGCGCCTCATTGGCCGGAAATTCTCCGACCCTTCCGTACAGGCAGACATGAAGCACTGGCCGTTCAAGGTCATCGCGGGCCCCGGTGACAAGCCGATGATCATTGTCCAGCACAAAGGCGAAGAGAAGCAGTTTGCTCCGGAAGAGATTTCGTCCATGGTGCTGGTTAAAATGAGGGAAATTGCGGAGGCCTTTTTAGGTCAGACCATCAAGAACGCAGTTGTCACCGTCCCGGCCTACTTCAACGACTCGCAGAGGCAGGCGACCAAGGATGCTGGCTCAATCGCCGGTCTGAACGTTCTCCGAATCATCAACGAGCCGACCGCCGCCGCAATTGCTTATGGTTTGGACAAGAAGGGTTCGAGGAGCGGCGAGAAGAATGTTCTCATCTTCGATCTCGGCGGAGGAACTTTTGATGTCTCTCTGCTGACGATCGAGGAAGGGATCTTCGAAGTGAAGGCCACCGCCGGAGACACGCATCTGGGAGGTGAGGACTTCGACAATCGGCTGGTGAATCACTTCGTGGCGGAGTTCAAGCGGAAGAATAAGAAGGACATCAGCAGCAACGCCAGAGCTCTGAGGCGGCTGCGAACTGCCTGCGAGAGGGCGAAGAGGACTCTGTCTTCCACCTCTCAAACCACCATCGAAATTGACTCCCTCTACGAAGGTATCGACTTCTACTCCACCATTACTAGAGCTAGGTTTGAAGAATTGAACATGGATTTGTTTAGGAGGTGTATGGAGCCCGTGGAGAAGTGCCTCCGCGATGCCAAAATCGACAAGGGGCAGATAAACGATGTGGTTCTGGTTGGAGGGTCGACGAGGATTCCCAAAGTCCAGCAGCTGCTCCAGGATTTCTTCAACGGGAAGGAGCTCTGCAAGAGTATTAATCCTGATGAGGCCGTAGCTTATGGAGCAGCTGTTCAGGCGGCGATCCTGACTGGGGAAGGAGACGAGAAGGTTCAGGATTTGCTTCTCTTGGATGTTACCCCTCTCAGCTTGGGCCTCGAGACCGCCGGCGGCGTGATGACTGTTTTGATTCCAAGGAACACGACGATCCCGGCCAAAAAGGAGCAAGTTTTCTCGACCTACTCGGACAACCAGCCTGGGGTTTTGATTCAGGTGTACGAAGGGGAAAGGGCGAGAACGAAAGATAACAATCTATTGGGCACTTTCGAGCTCAAAGGGATTCCTCCCGCACCCAGGGGAGTTCCGCAGATCAATGTGTGTTTCGACATTGATGCCAACGGTATCCTGAACGTGTCGGCGGAGGACAAGACAGCCGGAGTGAAGAACAAGATCACGATCACGAACGACAAGGGGAGGTTGAGCAAGGACGAGATTGAGAGGATGGTGCAGGAGGCAGAGAAGTACAAGGCGGAGGACGAGGAAGTGAAGAAGAAAGTTGATGCTAAGAATGCTCTAGAGAACTACGCTTATAACATGAGGAACACAGTGAAGGACGAGAAGTTTGCAGGGAAGCTGGATCCGGCAGACAAGCAGAACATTGAGAAGGCCATTGACGATGCGATTCAGTGGCTGGAGGGGAACCAGTTGGCCGAGGTGGAAGAGTTGGAGGACAAGCTGAAGGAGTTGGAAGGACTCTGCAATCCGATCATTTCCAAGATGTATGGAGCCGGAGCCGGAGCCGGTGGTGATGTGCCGATGGGTGGCGGAATGGGCGGTGGTTCTGGCGGGTCTGGTGCAGCAGGTGCTGGTCCTAAGATTGAGGAGGTTGACTAAATGGATGAGATTATAATCGATGGCGATGTCCATTGTCCTGTTGTCTTCGGCTGTGTTCATTAGTGTGTTGTGTTTTTGGCCATCCTGTGGGGAAGCTTGAAGTTGAAACTAAGGAGTGGTTTATTTGGATTGTTGTGAATGTTGCGAGAAAGAGTCCTTCTGTTGGTTAAGGATATTTGTAAGAGCTATTCTGATTGTATGCAATAAAATTAGTTTTCTTTCAGTTCTATTTTGCTGCATGCACTGAACCTTCTTCGGCTGGCAAGAGTCCAACTGAAGCAGGGGTAAATCAATGGACTGCAGACACCCACCATTCCTCTCCCTTGGAAAAAGAACACTAACTTGGAACACCGCAATAATGTACTGTAGTTGATGCGAACCTGGCTTATAAAGCAAGTGTTCTCCATGGGATGAGTGAGGGTTTGGGGAGGGAATCAAGTTCCTTCACCCTCTTTCACTCTATCAGCATTTTCTATGTATTGTGTTCCATTTTGTGCCAACCAATTGGAATTTGGATCCCTGAATGCGCAAACCATTACCTTAATCTGGAATCGACTCCCTGACCTATATGAAATTAAACCAAGGGAAAAAGGTCTCTCTCTCTGCCAGGAATCTAGCAATCTCTAAACTAAAGGAACACTAATGCGACCCCAGAGCAGAGCAAGCATCAGATGAAGGGACCCTCCTTCAAGTGTTCTTTATTTGAACTCTTGAGCTGCATATATGGAACTCTGAACCCAAAAAGACCAAACCCAAGTTTCCTTTTCAACACCTAGCCAGCTACCTCAACTCGAGACACCAACTTACAACACAGATCGCCCGGCCAAGGAAGATAAAAAAGGAGAAATGAAGATCAGAGCTGTTGTCATGGCTGCTTGGTTGCTGCTAATGTTTTGTTGGGTATCAGCAGTCGATCTCAACTCGTCAAATCCATTTCCACAGTTGGCAGGAGGACAAGATCACGGTAATAGAACAATTACTCAACCCTTTTTATTCATGTTACTCCCCATATAGAAATTCATTACAACAGGACAGGATCATATTTTTGTAACAAGCATTTATCTGGCAACGTAGATCTGAATGTGACGGAGTCAGAATGGCCGCAGCGTTGTGGAGTGGTGTGTTCGTCCAGTAAAGCGTCAGGGTCAGGAGGGAAGAAGGGAGGGAAGGGAGGTGCATCCGACATTGCTCACAGGGCTCCCCCTGGAGCACACAAAAACTACTCTGCTTCTAATTTATCATCACCCTATTTCTACTCCCTCCCCATATTCTCCATTGCACTCGCTCTCTGCCTTGTATTTGATCTCTCCATATGGGGCCGGTAGCGGCCTTTGCACATCCCGTTGGTGTTGTCTGAACTCTCTCTCCGACCATCTCGTCGGATGCGGGAAGTCCATATAGAGAGAGGTGATGTCATGATATAGGATGATATGATGGTGTGTTTGTGTGCGCTTGTTCATGTGTAATAACGTTTTGAGGAGAGAAAGTGATCTAGTATAAACTCAAGGCTGACTAGTAACGAAATGATTTGTGTCTCTGTTTAATTTTGTTGTTGAGTTTATTTTTAAGTGATATAATAATATAATGTAATGATCGGTATACTTCACGAGTATAGTATACTCCAAGTGATCTGGCTGTTAGATATTCTTTTTTGAGTTTCGCCCAATTTCAATGGTCAATTAGTATTTTTTTTATTAAATTGAACTTATGGTTTGTGTTTAGAGAATCGGAGGCCGAGGTTTATTCATTAGAGGTTAGGGTATAGTATTATACCCAAAACAAAATTTAATTTATAGTATAGATAGAGATATCTCGCTAATAGTACCTGGAGTATAGTATACTCTAGAAGTACATCAGTCTGACAATAATATAAATGCTGGTTTTCATAACATTTTTTTTTTCTCGAGACACATACAACATATCATACAATGAGCACTTCTACTATGCTATATAGCATTTGTGCTTTAATGTACAACTTGAAGTTGTACCATAACATTACTAGTTTTTTACCCGCCCGTTGGGCGGTGTATTTTGTTTGGTTATTTTATAATTCGTTATAGTATTCTAATTATTATTATTATTTATGTTTGTTAAGGTAATATATATGGAATTGTAAATCCCACTTACCTTATTTCAGGTATTGTTTCATACTTTTATACCTTTTGTTTATTTATGTACATTTTAATTTTATTAACTGAGCTCTTTGTAGATTGTTCTTTATTGATTTAGAATTTTTTTTATCGAACTCGCCCTTTAAGATTATAAACATAAGAGTTATTCATTCTTTAGCACACAATTGTGATAAAGAAGTTAAAAAATTTACAGCCACAAAAGAAGAAGTTAGAATAAGAAAATATGCTTCAATTAGTAATAAAAAATAAGTGAAGTGCTTTTCATTTTCTCTCTCTTCTCATATGTCGGTATACGATAATAGAGAATATACCGATCTAAATCCCATGAATATCGTGTATTATCACTTACACATACAACTTTGGAATAATGAGGAAACTCATTAGCATCCACGTCCATCAATCTTTCACGTACTCGTTTAATTACCTTGAAATGTTCTAGAAAACCAACCACAAACAAAACTATCAGCTGTCACAAACTTATTAAAGCAATATTTTTAGAAAATTAAAATGCATATACTTAAATACAATTTATATTTTGTAGAGAGCTACATATCTCCTGTAGAAAAGAATTGTGATTTTTAGCTAATAACAACATAGAAAAATAATGAAAGGAGCAGTCTTCAATACAACTCAACTCATTTTATCATGCAGATTCCTCATTTGTGAACTGAATATATGCATCAATCCAAATAGTAGTTTGTAAGAAAACAATCATGTCAAAATCAAGCTTTAGTTAGGGATTCAATGCGGAAAAATTCACCTTAATGAAACAAACAAATGTCACAGCAAACATGTAGAAATTCAAAAAACATCGAAATAGACAACCGAGAAACCACCATTATCATTTTCTTTCTTCTTCGCTACCTTTATAAAACCCCAATTATGTTCCCTTCTACTTATAACCTCTTTGCTACCTACTAATTACTAAACAGATCATCATTGTATTGCTAGCTAGTAGCTTGTCAATCATGAACATAAAATATAATAAACAACCATCACAACTCTTCTTTCTATTTCAACATTCAAGAAATCGGGTTGCAATAGGCATTCAAGAAAAATGATCAATTATTCAATCAAATGAGGTATGTCCTAAGTCCAACCAATGAACCATTCTAATTATATTTTATATATTAAAATAAAAGTATATGACGACCCTTCTCATTGAAAAACAAAGAAGAAATACATTCACTCATCGAGAGTGGGAAAATTTACCATCCAGCAGTTATAATTTGGAAAAAATTAAGAAAAGAATGGGAATAAGAGTATAACTCGGCCAGTCAACCGCAAACAATAAAGTATCGCTGAGAAAGTGAGACCAGTTGCCAACTTCATATCAAGGAGGAAGAGGGAGCAGTCGACAACCCTCGGCTTGGTTCACCTCATCTTCACAATAATCAGATGAACTTTTTTCGTTAACAGGCAAAAATATGTTACAACTGCTCAAAATTTTGTCATCTAATCTTTGCCTCGTGTAACTCCTGCCTCCTATTCTCATACAAATAAAAAAAAATCATATGCATTACCATTTCCTTCTCTATAAATTATGAGAATATAAATATTAGAAATCTCAAAAAAATTAACAACTAATAAAAGGGTTTTGTTTATTTTTATGGTGGTTGACATACTTTCTTGATTTCTTATTTTCAAAGTTGGATTTTATTTCTAGTGGGACAATCAAAATGGGAAAAGGGACAGAAACAAATTAAAAGTTTGCATTAATAATTAATATGTTTTTTATTTACTCAGAATAAATAAGAAGTTATTTAAAAAATAAAAATTATTGCTCTGTCAAGTTTATATTCAAACATTTTGGTATAAAATTTATACTTGTTTTATTTGATAGGTATATACATTAGAAAGAAGTGAGTGTTTGATAGCAAAAAAACATATAGTCATATCGATCATTTCTCAAAGTCGATTGATTATCAAACACTTGTTTTCTCTTAGACCATCGTTTATATTTTGTTTAATTGAAAATATTATTATTTATGTGTGTGTGTTTTTTTTGCTTCATCAAAATGTAACTTATTATTAAATATTAGTAAAAATGAGTAGAAAATTTACTTAATCAGATTTAATCAGCTTGGGTTATACAAATACGATATATCACTCTCTGTTTCCATCTTTATAGTTTGTTTAATTGAAAAAAAAATGATTACTTATGTACGTGTTTGTTTGTTTAAATGTTTCCAAAAAAATTAACTTATTTTAATTTTAATAAAAATAAGTATAATTATTAAAAGAAGAGAGAGATAGCTTCATAAATAGATCAATAAATAGTTTTTTGTTTGTAAAAAAAATTGTCCACCTTGGCAACTTGTGCATTCACCAAGTGCTTATGTGGCAAGAATTTATTTTTGAATAGCCATAATATTTAGTATAGATAGATAGATAGATAGATATAGATAGATATAGATAGATAGATAGATAAATAGATAGATAGAAGATAGATAGATAGATATAGATAGATAGATATGTATAAGTTTACGTTGTACCATAAAGGAATTTGTATCATTATGTTAAGGTACAACTTTACAACTTGAAGTTGTACCATCACATAATGTACAAGTTTAAGTTGTATCATAAAAGAATCTGTAAAAAAGTATAGGTACAATATGAAGTTGTACCATAACGTTAAAGGTACAATTTCAAGTTGTACCATAAAGAAAAAAACTTACAGTACCAATGCTATATAGCATTATAAAATTCCTCTCATACAATAGAAAGTAACAATTGGGTGTATTTGTTTGTATTTTATTCTTAAATTTGAATTTTTTTTTACCGAAGATGTGGACTTTTGCTACAGTTTGGAGAAAAATAGGTTTGGTAAGAGAAAAAATATGGAGAGATCATATAGTTTTTCACACGTAAATGCAACAATGTGTCTTCTACCCCTTCTTATCGTAATCTTTTATTAAATTGAACTTCTGGTTTGAGTTTAGAAAATCGGGGGCTGAGGTTTATTCATTATAGGTTAGAATATAATATTACATCAAAAACTCGATATAATTTATACTATAGATAGAGATATCTCGCTAATAGTACCTGGAGTATAGTATATTCCAGAGAGAGGATCCAGTGACTAGGGGGGGTGCTTAGTCACTTGACTAAACCCCTCCCAGCCATTAGATCTGGCTACAGCAATATGATGGTTAAAAGTGGGAAGGGCTATTTAATTAATGACAGTGATAGTTTGGGTATTATGAAAAATTACGAAGTATACAAACCGGACTTACAATCAGTACAAACCATACAAACATACGAACAGTACAAACTAGAGCGACAAAACATACAAACAGATTTACAAACATTACAAACATATGAACTGTACAAAAAATACAAACTAGACTGACAAACAATACAAACCATACAAAAAGAAAAAACAACTAGGTTGACTTTGGAGGCTCCATCCCTATATAGAGGGGCTCCTTCCCAAAGTCAACCCGGGCGTTTTTAAGACATACAAACATGGTGGACAAAAATGACAAACTAGACCAAAAATTCATACAAACTGGAAAAACACCCGGTTGACTTTGGAGGCTTCATCCCTATATAGAGGGGCTCCTTCCCAAAGTCAACCTGGGTGTTTTTTAGACATACAAACATTACGAAGATGGTGGACAAAAATGACAAACTAGACCGACAATCCATACGAACTGGAAAAAACACCTGGGTTGACTTTGGAGGCTTCATCCCTATATAGAGGAGTTCCATCCAAAAGTCAACCAGGTTGTTTTTTAGACATAAAAAACATTACAAACATGGTTGACAAAAATTATACACATGGTGCACAAAAATAACAAAGTTTACAAACATTACAAAATAACAAAGCGTACAAACATTACTAAATAAATCGACAAACAGTACAAAGCATACTAACCGTACAAAATGTCACTAAAAATGACAAACAATACAAACCGGAATCTATACAAACATTACAAAATAAGTTAGTAAACATCACAAATCCAACACTATCGCCGGGAAATATCGCCGCAAAATTCTCTCTCTCAAGTTGCATGCCAAACTTCAATTCCCACCACAATTCACCAGCCGCCTCTCTCTCTCTCTGTCTCTCTCTCTCTGCACATGCTTTTTCCATTCCCAAGTTGCATGGCAAACTTCATTTCCTTCCCACTACAATTCATCAGCAACCGGCGGAAGGCAGTAGCCGGGCCGGCAATCCAAGCCGAACGAGTTTTTTCGATTTCGTCAAACTTTGGGCGGTCATAATTTTGTGCTCCAAAATCCGAACGTCATGAATTTTTTTTTTCATTTCGCATAACTTTTCAAGATCTACAACTTTTACAAGGATGAAAATTTCAAAACAGGAATTAGTTTTGGATATACGGGACCTTGGGAATAACTTTACCTTTACTTTTCACAAACCCATGTACATTTCGAAATTATGGTTATGTTAAATGTTGTAGTAATTGAAAAGTTATGCGGAATAAAAAAATGATGACATTCGGATTTTGAAGCACAAAGTTATGGCCGTCCAAAGTTTGATGAAATCGAAAAAAGGCTTGTTCGGGGTAGCAAATGACGTTTTTTCGAGACGAAGGCGGGACCAAACTGCCTACGGCTGTTTGCGGCTTGCAAGATCTCGAAAAGTTATTCAGATTAAAAAAAAATCGCTACGATCGGATACCCGAGTGCAAAGTTACGTTCGTTTGAAGTTTTGGCCGAAGTTAGGAGTTGATCGAAAAAATAAAATGGACCAAACTGCTGGGTGGGGTGGCGGTTTGGCCCAGCGGTTTTTATAACCGCCCCTTAGCCCAGCGGGTTGCATCGAAAATCGCGCCCCCACCCAGCGGTTTTCGTGTAAATCGCAGGGTGGGGTGGCGGTTTTTGAAAAAAGATGGTATTTTTGAAATTTTTTGGGTTGGGTGATATTTTTGAATTTAAGACAGTGATACTTTTGTATGTTTTCCATAAAAAGTGAGGTTGGTAGATTAGGCCATAACCACAATTGTGGCAACCTGTGAACATGATTTTATTATAAATTTATAGGAAATTCCTACAATACCTTGAAGTTATGGTAACTTGATGTTTTTGACATGCTATAACAGGTTTCACAAGTCGCATTACGTAAAATACAATAGGCATTACGTAATGGTTACGTAATGTGTGTTTATCTTACGTAATAGTTGAAAAATGTCATTACGGAAATCTTACGTAATAGATACTCATTTTACTTAATGAATATTAATCTTTCGTTACGTAGTTTGTTGAATCATTACGGAAGGCTTACGTAGCACTTCTAATTTAACTGTTACGTAAGAAATAACTATCGTTACGTAACCTTTACGTAACTGATGCATACTTTACGTAACAGTTGTAAAGTGGCATTACGGAAGCCTTACGTAATGGATGGTACTTTTACGTAATGATATTAATCAAGTTATGTAATGTGGTAAGTTATTACGAAAGTCTTACATAACACTTCTAATTTAACTGTTACGTAAGAAATAACCTTCGTTACGTAACTTTTACGTAATGAGCGTGTATTTTATGTAACAGTTTTAAAATGTCATTACGGAAGCCTTATGTAATAGACGATGCTTTTACGTAATGAATATTAATCTAGCGTTACGTAAAATGATAAGTCGTTACGGAAACCTTCCGTAACGCTTCTATTTTAACTATTATGTAAGACTAACAAGCATTACGTAATTGTTACGTAATAAACATTAGTTTTACGTAATGCGACCTATAAAACCTGCTATAGCAGGTAAAAAACGTCAAGTTATGGTAACTTCAATGCATGGTAAGAGGTCCCTAAATTTATAATACAAAAATGCCAATTTTGGTACTGCGTTCACCTACTCTCAACTCTGCACTTTTCTTTCTTTCTCGGGCAACGAAGTGAACTTGGAAAGCAAGAAATGAGAAGATCTTCCGGGGAACTCCTCTTTGGCCACCATCCACCATCAGCAAAGCTGCTGCGGACCACCTCCAATGGTTCACATGCCCTCGACCCCATCGCAACGGGTCTCTTCCAACTCAGCCCATTCCACCCCCTGATCATTCTACACCACCGCCAGGTACTCCTGTTTTTGAAGTACACTGTGACGGCTCGTTTTTCGATGAGCCCCAGAAGGCGGCATATGGCGTCATTGTCTCGAACAGCCATGGTCAAGTATGCGACGGGAAGGCTGAGCTCGTGCATTGTTTTTCCCCTATTGAAGCAGAAGCCATGGCATTGCTTGAAGCTTCTCGAATGGCTGCCTCTCTCTCAGCTCCTTGCCTTGTGAAAACTGACTGCCTGCAGCTGGTTCAGGCGATGGAGCGACCTCCCAGAACGTGGCCATGGCGAGCGGCGGCCAGAATTGGAATGATCAAGCTTGTCCTGGATTCCAACCCGCAGATCAGTGTTAGACACTTTTGTCGTAAGCTGAACTCGAAAGCGGATTGGGTTGCCAAATCCTGTGCTAAAAATTAGTTACCCCCGCAATGGCTGCAGATCATTGATTTGGTTGCGCCCTTGTTGTAATGACTTTCTGGTTTGCTTCATTTATTGGAATTTCATTGTCCTTTGTCAAAAAAAAAAAAAAAAAAACGAAGTGAACTGGATAAATGTCTCCCATGGGCCATGACCCATCCCCTTCATTACCATGGATATTGGTACCGTATCGATATTCAAATATCAAATAACAAAATCTTGAATACTAAATAATATCCTAATCTAAATCTCAATCCCAAGTCCTACTTATGTTTTCGGAATCGGTATATACTAAATACCAAATTATTTCCCTTTAAAATCACAAAATATAGAAACACATATACTTCTCATATGCTAGTAGCTCCGCTCCACAAACCATTATCAAAATATATAAAAACAAACAATGGTGTAAAACAAATGGGAGAAAATCTCAAGTATAATAATAACAAACTAGAAAAATGTTATGTCTAAGAAGCAAGTTAACAAACTAAATAAAACAAACTGAAACATGAGACGACTAAGCAATAACAAAATGAACTTGATATGAGTTGTCAAATACCGAGGGATGAACTATGTATAATTAAGTGATCATTTTGGTGGTTGTGGGGTTGGTACAAGTGAGTTAGGGAGCCTGGTCGTCTACAAATTATAAAGTAAACACTAGTTTATATTTCAGTACTGATTGATATTTCGTTACATATCGATCTCAATCCTACAATCCCAAAACACCGTATAACACTTGATACGTATATACAAAATATGACAGATTCGGTATTATCCGAAATAAGTCAAATAACGATACTAGCGGTCTTACTTATAAAATTTTCGCTTCTCTTTGATTGGCACTTTGGCAGGCACTGCGGCTACGGGCCACCCACCAAATCCACTCACATCACATGGGATGGTATCCATAGACCAAATGGTTATTGTCTAAAGAAAACAACATTTGCAATTAGCATCACATCATAACTGAATTAATTAAATACGAATACCACAGCTTAAGCCAAGCTTGAGGTATTTGTATGATTTACGGTAGAGTTTAGTGAGAACAAATTTTGCGAGCGAAGATCAGATGATGGTTCATAAACAAAACAGTGCCATTGTCAGCTCGCATCGGCATCACCGTGCTCCCTTTGTTCAATGATCAGTGGAAGTCAATTCAACAAGAAGGCCCATACGCCATCGCCCTACCATCTCAGCCTCCATTTCAAAGGATTGACTGACTCTATCCCTATCTCAGTCGTCTCTGGGTAAACCTTCATTTCAGACGTCTCTTTTCCTTTTCATGACTTGTTCGCACTCCCAAACCGTTCCTGGCTCGGGTCAATTGGCGAGAGGCGTTTCGCTACATTCGTACTACTACTGCTGCTGCCACTGGAACTATCTTTCTTCTTATCAACCACAATTTCATTCAGGGCCACTTCTAGTTTATCCAGCCTCTCTTTCACCTCTGATATAGCAGCATTTGACTTGGCTTCTACTTCAAGGGCTTTCTGCTCCTCCTCTTCTGCTCTCGTCTCTTCTTCTTTCTTCTTCTTCTGCTGGAATTCCTGAACGACGGAATGGAACCAGAAGCAAAATCTCAGCAAATAGAGACAAAAATGCATAACCTGTTACACATGGTTCGAAGCCATGGCCTTTTAGGCTTTTACCAAAAAAGGAGCATTCAGGTTACTTGACAGTTACCGTTTCCACTCGCTCCATTTCACGACGAGCATACATGGCTACCAAGTACACAGCTGTTTCACAGAGAATAACAATGTCACTTGAGGCCCGAAGAGAAGGCACGGACAGGCAGAATTGTAACAGAAACTCTATGGATAGATAGATAGATAGATTTACCCAATGATGGCAAGCAGACAAAGAACAGTTGTACCAGGTGAAAATCAAGCCTGAAATGGAATGGATGGAAGTAAGCAGATATCTTCCCGAAGCTCAGATGGAGGTCATGAGGCTAACCAGAAAGTATCATACTGATAAATAAAACATTGCACCAACAGATTGTGCACGATGACACAACACAATTGGCCCTCTTGTTGATTCCCCGAATAGAACGGATTAGTTTCAGAAGAAATTCTGGTTGAGTGAGGCACTCGATTTGCGTCGTCTATTTTCCAAACACTGGAACTTTTGTCATACCAACACCTCAAGAATGATTCGTTTCATGACATAAGAAAGAGCTTAAGAGCGCATGCATTGTGCTCAGCGTAACTCTATATTGATAAAACCAAACTAGTCTAGCTAATGGTGATGAAACTAGGTACTTTTTCCCCCATATCAGTTAATACTACCAGCTAAAACTGCAGCATAGCAATGATGCAGACATAAAACAAAATATCTATGAGGTATGAGAGAAACGGAGGTGTCTCAGAACTTGATAAGATTTCGAAGCATTTATCTATTAGACAAACTTAAATTTAGAGCAATTAAGTAGGCCAGGTCAGCTCTAGAAGGGTTCATCCAACCCTTCTGCTACAAAAAGAAACTACCTGGATCTCCATTCTCCACTACTATCAATAGCCGTGGGCTAAATTGTCCTGAAGTTTCCATATCCATAGCTACCAAAACAATATCTAGAGCAGCAATGTGCTATGTTCTGGACGGAAAACAGTGCAGCTTCCTCCAAGCAAACGGGGCAATTAACCAGCAACCAAATAAGCGCAGCAGATTCAGCACATCAAGGCACATAACCTATTCGACAAAATGTCTCAAAGGAAACGAAACAGAACAAGCAAAGTTGCAAGACTCGGACTCCCATAGAAACCATAAGACGGGAATACGAAATTACCCGAACTTCTTTTGCTTGGGGGTCTCTGCGAAAAGGATCTTGGCGGCGGTCATGAAGTCGAGCTTGCCCAGCTGGCTATATGTTTCATTGTATCTGGTAATACTCGATGGTTGCTTGTGATTATCACCGCCATTGTTGCCGCCGCTGTCGTAGCTCTTCTTGTTGTTGTGATTGGGCTTAGCGGTGGTGATGCACAGCCGACGGTGCTTCAATCGTGCTAGGGCGTGCCTGGCGCGAAGCATCCTACTTTAAAGTTCGTCCTATCGACGACTCAGGGCTCCATAACTCTGCAATCAGTTACTTGCCTACTAGAGGATCACCATACCTAATCGAATTTCGGAGTCTGATCCGGGAGCGAATTGAACAAAGGATTGACTTCTGCGTTACAGTTTGAGTCCAGCCGTATAGGCTGACTGGCTGAGTGCTGTCGCCGTCGCCGTCGCCGTCGCCGCCGTATCGAGAAAGTGGGGCGACAAATGGTGAAATGGAAGGGGAAGGTTGAAAAGATCAAAAGGAGAATAAATCTGAAATGGGCTAAGGCCTTATGGTCTCAAGTAACCCAGTTAATGTGGGCCATCAACAGTTTGTGGGCATTAATGGGCTGGACTTTTCTTCCTGCTTCCTGGCGGTTAATTGGCTTAATAAGTAAGCGGTTTGTCGACGTTAAAGGTACGCGGGACGGTGACATTGACAAATCTATAAATAGCTTTAACACTTAGCAGGCTGGCTCCGGTCTAAAAACAAGCGCTCTCTTCCGTTCTCCTCTCTGAATTTCGAACACGTTTAGCTCCGGCGATTCTAATCTTCCCACAGGTGCTCTCGGCTGCCTATAATGGCGACCTTCGGTGCCGCTTCCGCAGCTAATACGAACCCTAACAAGTCCTTTGAGGTAAATGTCTCCCTCGCTGTCGGTTCTTTGAATTTGGCATTTGTATCCTTGGGTGATCATTAATATTATAGTTCCGAGTTCTTCGAAGCTTTTACGATAGACGAATTGGCTGCTGGCCGGTTTCTGTAGGCTAAATAGTCCTTTTCTTGTTCTTTGGCTTTTAATGAAGTGCATTTGAACTGCCCGAGTCTTTGAATTCACTGTTCGTATTGAAGATTTTCAAGTTTGGGGTTCTGTGATTCTTGGCATTTGGGTTTAGGGTTTGAGAAAGGTGTGTTCGTGATTATTAGGATTGTTTGGTGGCATTCTTACATTGAATGCTGACTGAGGGTTGTTTCGATGTCGTTGCAGGTGATTCAACCCCCGACTGACTCGGTTTCCAGTCTCAGCTTCAGTCCTAAGGCAAACTACTTGGTGGCTACTTCGTGGGATAACCAGGTTTCTTGAACTCGAATTCATCTCTTTTACGAATTTCGTTGTAATCTCTTTGTATGGGTTGCTTTCTGTTTTTGAGCATGAGCTGTTGAGCTGCCCTTGTTTTTACCTGTAAAGTTCCGACCTCATGAAAGGAACAATCTCCTCAAAATTTATTGAAATTCATCTTTCAACGCTGAAACACATGCTGCCTTTTTGTTGTTGTTTCAAATTATTTACACAAACAACATCATTCTCAAATTCGGAATAATGTTGCAGGTACGGTGCTGGGAAATATCAAGAAATGCAAGCACCGCATCCAGTGCGCCCAAGGCATCGATGTCACATGACCAGCCGGTAATATATGGATCAAACAAGACTGTCTACTACTTCACTTTGTAATTGCAGCTCTAATTCTTCCTTGCTTCATTGTTGGTGCCTTTTATAGGTCTTATGTTCTGCATGGAAGGATGATGGAACAACTGTTTTCACCGGCGGCTGTGACAAGCAAGTGAAGATGTGGCCTTTATTGTCAGGAGGTCAAGCAACCACTGTCGCTATGCATGACGGACCAGTTAAAGAGATAGCTTGGATTCCAGAAATGAACCTCTTGGCCTCAGCAAGTTGGGATAAGACCTTGAGGTAAGAATCTCTCTCATCTCGTTCTTTGTGGCGTTTCAAGAAGTCGAGTAACAGCTACCGCCTTTATCAACTATATTCATATCTGTTGAAAAGTTCTAAGCATCATATTAAAATTTCATTTGGTAAAGAGTTCGAAATAAACTGAAAGCATTTCGATGCTGATGCATATCATCCCTTGCTTTAACTCTGTTGAGCCTCCTGTTGTAGGAGGAATTGAGTTTTGTTAGCATCTAGCGATAATAAATGATTCTGAATGTTTAAACGGCTGCACAATGTTGTTTTATACCTTTTGTAGCTTGGATGCGAACTCTTTAGTCTATGCATGTCACTTTGTCAAATTTTTATCGTATTATATTTCAATATAAACAGATACTGGGACACAAGGCAGCAAACTCCAGTGCATACTCAACAACTGCCAGAGCGCTGTTATGCTATGACAGTGCGGTATCCCCTCATGGTTGTGGGTACTGCAGACAGGAACATCGTAGTCTTCAATCTTCAAAATCCTCAGGTACTTGTCTACATTTTTGGCTTACTTCTTCTCTGGATGGTTGTGGATGGGTTTAAGCCTATCTATTCAAAGGTAACCCATCTAGGGGATCTTGAATAGTGGTTTCATGGGAGGACTCGTGTGACGAGACATGCTGGAATTTAAGGATTCTTATTCTTCTCTCTCATAGAGCGGCACTCCATTTGTTTCGTATCTAATTTATATATTTGATGTGGACAGGCGGAATTCAAGAGAATTCAATCACCGCTGAAATATCAGACGAGATGTGTAGCAGCCTTTCCGGACCAGCAAGGGTTTTTGGTATGCATGTGACTTTGTCATAATCCTTCCTTTTATGATTACAAGATGTCCTTCAAACTTGCATATTTGGCCTACTTTCAAGTACTGTGGAGGTGTTTAAGTCCCGTTCACCTTATCCATACCTGTTCCAGAGCAAATCGAATTTTATTCTTATCTGTTGGCATGCTTTCTAAGTTTGACATAAGTTGTTTTGGATGGGGGTTAAAATTACTGCTTGAGAAGTTATGATGCTATACTCTTGGCTGTTAGCAGTTCCTCGTCATTGTTGTTGGCGGAGACATGTTGTACTTTACTTTTATAAGCGATAGTCCCAAGGTTATAACCAGTTTGAAAAGTATATTGTACTTTTAAAGGCGCATAAAATGCATGCATGCCACTAAAACAATTTCAGAATGATAAAAATCTAACTTCAGAAGGCTGAAGATGAGTAGAGTACCACTACCTAGAGCACTAGTCAATTGGTCTTGGCAGCCACTTCCTTCATAGGAAGAATGATTCTCGGGAACTGTTCCAGAGATTAGTTTACAAGAAGTTTGACCTCATTGTTAACCATACTTGATCAAATATTGCAACAAAATAGTGTTCAATGTGAGAGATTAACATGGGGAAGCTCCATTGTTGGGCTTTTATTTTTTATTTTTGGTGTATATGGCATATAAAATGATCTAGGGTTGTTGGAATTGGTCTTATTTACTGCATTTGTTCAACCTCAATTTTGTTCTCACACAGGTTGGTTCAATAGAAGGCAGAGTTGGGGTACATCATCTGGATGATGCTCAGAATGGTAAAAACTTCACTTTTAAGTGCCACAGAGAAGGAAATGATATCTACTCAGTGAACTCCTTGAACTTTCATCCTGTAAGTAATTTAGATTCTCGGTTGCTTCCCAATCATGACTTTCAAACTGTAGTTGGCCACTTATTTGTTGGTTCGATATCTCTTTGTACCAGCTGCATGCAAGTCTGTGGTCTGAATGTTAATTGTGCTTGCTTCACAATATGTATGTCTACCTCTCGCGTTCAGGTCCACCATACGTTTGCGACTGCTGGATCTGATGGTGCTTTCAATTTTTGGGACAAGGACAGCAAACAGAGGCTAAAGGTTTGTGCCAGTTTTTCATGTCTTCCAGGATTAAACATAAAGTGGTGTCCTAGTTCATCTTGTTGGTTGGTTCTAGTAGATGATCCAATCCAGTTTATTATTCACATGGCCAATAATTGAATGCTATGACTCATTTTGTAGTTTTCATTGTGAGATTTAGTTGAAATAATCAAAATTTCTGTATATCGTCTAATCTTATAGGCCATGGCAAGGTGCAGCCAGCCAATACCTTGCAGTGCATTTAACAATGATGGCTCCATATATGCATATGCGGTATGTATCTCACATCTTTGACCATTAAGTATATGATAGCATCACTGTCGGGAGGTCTGGTGGGTTTGATGGAAGATCCATTTCTGTTGTCTCCAGGTTTGTTACGACTGGAGCAAAGGTGCTGAGAACCACAACCCAGCAACGGCAAAAACGAACATCTTTCTACATCTACCACAGGTGCGCTTGTGCAGTTCACTCACTCTCTCACTCACAGTGTCTGTTCAATCTACCATCTGTGTTGCTTTAAAAGACTCGGTTTAGTGATGCAAATAAATGTGGTTATTCTGAATCTGCAGGAGTCTGAGGTTAAAGGGAAACCCCGTGCTGGATCGACCAACAGAAGGTGAACGACCCTGTCAAAGAAGGCTGAAACGTGCCCCCCTTTTGCATCTCAATCTTTCTTCTCTTTGTTCAAGACTTGGTTCTTTCGGTTGGTGCTTTGTTTTTCCAGCAGTTGTCCATAGCAGTGTTCGTTTGTTAGCGATGTAAGTGATACACATAGATAGAGATAGCCTTATGTTGAACGATTAGTTCCTTTGCCAAACAACTTCTAATGAGTTGAGAAGATATTGAGCAGCGATTAACTTCTGCGGTTCATTGTCCTTGCTAACTTTGTGTCCTTTGAGATACTACCCAAACTAGGGGTGGTCTGGCAAGCACCAGATATGGAAATGCAAATGCATCTATCTATCTTCAGTTGCGAATTTGCGATTAGGAGTATTGAGTGGTTCGTTTACTAATCAGGTAGTGGTTGAACGCTAAGTCGCTAACTGTGCCGCTTACATTGAGCGGTTAATAACCAACCTTTCAACCGGTTGGTTAGGTGTTTGGCTAGTGGTTAGTGATCAGAAGCCTGGAATTGTTACCGGTGAAGGTTGGAATGGATGCATTTTCTCCTTTATCGTTCCTTTTTATCGGTTAATAATTTTTATGATATTTTTCACTATGAAATATTGTGACCAGAATGTATACACAATAATTTGTGTTTTTTCCGTTTCCTCTTCTCCTGATTGGATATTGTGTTCATATTGATTATTGAATTACAACTTTTTTGTTCTGAAATTTATGAAACTAAGATGCATATTGATAAAGAATGTAAGGTGTCATCTTCCCTCTTAAGGTTTAAGCACTACATATCATTGTTTACCTACTGTTAAATAAAAGTCTTTCTAACTTGAGTACGAGCTACAATGACTTTTATTATTGTCGATGTTTCCCAAAATATTAGGTAGGTTGCCGTTATCACCGTTGATATTGTCGATTGTCGAAGATGATATTTGCGTTATGGGTGAAAACAATGCAACTTGTGGAACAGGGGATTATGATGGTAACATGGGAGGGACCATTGAGGGTGAGAGCAATATTTACTACGCGACTTGCATAATAGTATAGTCTACGATGATCTTCATCTAGCGGCCACGACCTCCATTGTTTATTACTATTAGTATAGGCTCGCTCGCTATCGCTTTGCGTGTAAGCGACAATATGATGTTTTGTAGAGTAATAGTTTAAATAATTTTGATCCGAAGGTAGAGGGATTTTATTTCATTCTTAATCTTTCTTTCCATGGGTTTGTCCTCTACAACACAATGTGGCCGGCTAAGTGATAAACTTTCAGAAGAGAGAAGAGTCGTCGAGCAAATGATTTATAATTTGAAACTTCTCTCATGATGATATTGCCCAGTTTTTAGTCTTTTTTACTTTGTTTTTATTAAGTTTATCATGATTCTCTTTTTCATGGATTTTCGGGGCTGATCGCAAGTTTGATGAGGTTCATCTCGTGTTGACCGGGCCGAATTAGATTGAATACCATAGGTTTGTGTTCAACTAGCATTCTCAATAAAGGGAAAACAAAATAAAAAAAACACTAAAGCAGATGAAACTCGCTCTCGAGCCAAAATTCGGCACAAAAAGTTCAACACGCTTTGACCGGGTTGAATCAATTTTTTTTAACAAAATCCACACTTAACCCAACATGTCAATTAAAAAAGCGAATAAAAATCACTCTCGGGAAAAACTTGTAAATATTGGGTTCAAGTCGTTTTGATAAGATGAATTAGATTGGATACCTTGGGTTTGAGTTCGATTGTCATTCTCAATCAAAGGGAAAAGATAAATAAAAATACTAAAGCAGATAAAACTCACTCTCAACAAAAAAACTCTCGACGTTTAGTTCAAGTCGCTTTGACTTGGTCTAACCAAGTTTTTAAAGAATTCACACTCGACCAAACATGTCAATTATAAAAGTGGATAAAACTCACTCTCATACAAAACTCGTCAGCACCAGGTCTGGGTTCAATTATCATTCTCAACAAAAACGAAAAATATTAAGGGGGCAAGCCACGTTCTCGATCCAAAACTCATGAACACCGTGTTCAACTCGCTTTGACCGGATCGATTTGAGTTTTTAACAAATGCACACTCTACCCGACCTGTTAACTATAATAGCGGATAAAACTCGCCCCCGATACAAAAATCGTCAATACCATGGGTTGGAGTTCAATTGTCATTCTCAACAAAAAGGAAAAAGAGAAATTTAAAAATACTACAGTTGGGTTAAAGTCGCCTTGACTAGCCGAAATAGATTGGACACTTATTGGTTTGGGTTACCAAAGAAATTGAAACCCGGACCCGATACAAAACTCATCAACATTGAATAAATATGGTATATATTTTAGATAGCGTCTTTGAGAAACGCTGGAGGGACACAACTTGGATTCCACTGACAATGTTTCAAAACTGAGTTGTAAATAGGTGGGCGAATGCGAGGATTGTACAGTCGATATATGGTATGGATCTTCGGTAGTGGCTGTGGCAAACGGTGGAAGATGACAACTTAGTTTTTTGCCGACAATGTTTCGAGATGGCTGCGAATTGGTGGGTGAAAGTGATCATTTGGTGGGCGAAAGACGATGGACAATCGATGTAGACTGATCGGACAATAGTTAAACATAGAGGATGTAAAATGAGAGAGTTGGGAATAGAAGACACTTGGGAGAGATTTGAGTAAATGGATATTAGATTTGGAAAATCTAATGGAAAAAAGTTCAAACAAATGGTATGAAATGAGAGAGTAGGGTAATAGGAGGTTTTCCAAAATTTAGAGATTCAAGAGAAGTATATGTGAGTGAAGAAAATCAAAAAAATAAAGGTTGCCCACTTGCACTTGAAGGAGTTTGAGAGACACTAATGAATAGTAACTCAAACCAAGGCTTTTATTATATTAATTAATTAATTAATTATTTATTTATTTTTCTATCGTGGCTAGTTGGGGACCATTTGTTACTAAGTGATAATTGGAATTTGTCTGTAGGGAGAAAAGTTGATCTTGGTCTTAGCATGTAAGGTTAAGTGATAGTATTATAATGAATAGTGAGAGCAATAGTTACTGGAATAGTTGGCTTGGTTAGTGCCAACGATGTTCGTTTATTCTATGTCACATCTGCTGCCTGGCATTTTCACCAAGTCTTTCATTGTTAGTCGACATATCTATCTCTCAGGCAAATTGATTGATGCTCCCTACCGGTCATCAATTTAGGGGAGAATGATATTGGGTTAGATGTTTCTTCGTTAACGTCGTTTGTATGGGGCTTTGGTTATGTAATCTCGGGTTAGCCCGTTTGTATGGTTGCATGGGCTTGTATAACTTGTTACGTAAATCATCTAAGTATCTAGGATAAGTGACTAGCTTATTTGATAATGATTAAGTGTAAAGGGAGATAATTAAGTACGAGGAATTTGCTGGGTTTGGGGAGACTATCTTACAACTAGCTCACAACGATAGTTCTAGGGTTGGAAGAGAGTTGGTCACTCCTATATATATGTGAAACATCTGCTGAGTTTGGATCATCGAATAAGAGAGACACCGCTGTTGGCCGTGGACTTGTCTTGACAATCTAAACGTCGTTGGCACCACGTAGATACTGTTTGTTCTTGTTTCCGTGTGTGTCGGTATAACTGTTTGCTCTTGTTGTTATCACCATGCCCTTATATTATATTATTATATTTTGTATATTTATATAGGAAATCAAATATATATTTCCCATATATTCCAGAAATTTCGATAGTAACAATAGTCAAGTCACTAATAAAAAATATTTGCTAATAAATCTATATCGTACATAATCGTTACAATACATACATCAAGACAATATTTTTCAACATAGAAGTCACGTAACCCTCACACCACCAATATAGCCACATATGTTTATTTCCCCTACTACAAACACAGTACATAGAGTTTTATTTATTAATTACTCCTCACAACTCACAGACGTACGCCATATTACGAGATGTTGCTATCCGGGATCTAAGAGCTGCTGCTAACATTCACCATAGCCGTCCCTTTGTCGCAACCAAAAGCCATCCTATACCAAACATTTCCATAACATATACCGTATCATAATCATGTTTCCGTAACAAGAGAGCGCGTTTGGATATGTGTATTTCAATTCAAAAATCGATTTAAAAAGTTAGCAGTAGTAAGGGATCAGCACTTACTGGTTCGAACCTCCTCTGCACCCAATAGCCCAAACCCTATCCAGCCCGTAATTCATCGTCTCAATAGCCCTGCACATAACAAAATTAGGTTCCTCCAAACCATAAGTTCTTTCTCAAAATTTGTCATCCGCGTTACAAAGCACATGCCGTGGCAAAAGAGTAGTCAAAATCTACTTACTTGAAAGTGGTAGCATCCCAGATGATAACAGTCCCATCTTCGGAGACCGAAACGAAGATCGGCAGCTCTGGATGTACAGCCACCGCAGAGACATTGTTGGTATGGCCTTCCAGAGTACGGACACAGCAGTTGGTGTCACAGTCCCAAACCTTCACCGTGAAATCGTCCGAACCGCTCAAAAGGTACAGCTTCTTCTCGTCAGGATCTCCAGCTGATGATGCCAAGTAAGTCACACAGTTGACTCCTTTTGCATGTCCGTCCAGTGATCCAACGGAAGCAGGGGAGCCAATGTTCCATATCTGCAATAGTCGCAAAATAGTCAACACACACGGCCTCCTCCTGTTTCCACCAGAGTAGTACGAGTAGTATTATGTTATGCGGCTGCTATACCTTGACTGCGTTGTCGAGCGATGCAGTTGCGAAGGATTGGTGATCCAGTGGGTTGAAAGCAGTCTGCATAACGTAATGGGAGTGGCCTCGGAAGACTCGAGCGCACTCCCAGTCTTTGTCCCAATCCCAGATCTTGACAACCTTGTCGTCGCCGGCCGACAGCAGGATCGGAAGCGTTGGGTGGGGGCAGAGACTCCTGATGAAATCCTCGTGTGCTTGAACCTCCTTCACCAGCTCCCTGCTGTCTTGATCGTACACTCGGATCTTGCCGTCGTCGGTTCCGGTCACGATCCATTGCTTTCGTGGGACGAACTTTGCTGTTCTCACCGGCGAATCCGTGGCCTTGAATGACCCCACCACTTCCTGGATAGCGAAATTAAACCACACGGGATGATTAAGGATCGGTTAGTTTCATAATTATATTTATTAATTTATACAACATGAATTAGGCTGGCTATTTGGTCAGGGTTATTTGGTTTTACCTGAAACTGGACCGTATAACCCGGACTGGGACCGGATAGTAAACAATTCAATCCAATATTTGGGCTTAGATTTGAGTTAAAAAAATCGTTCGGCACCGAATCGAAAACTGGATATAGACCGGATAAGAGAGCTCAACACCCAAAACTTAAGGGAAAGTTGCATAAACGGTCACAAACCTTTGCACATAGTACAAAACTTAACCAACTCCTCCACCCTTTCAGGCCTTAGGCCACTCAAATTCCCACAAGCTCAATATAAAATCAAGACCGAATTGGGACCGGACCGGATCAAAACTGGACTGTATCCAATCCAATCTTTGGTCCTTATTTTTTAAAAAAGACCGGACTAGACCGTATAGCCACCCGTAGACAGGATGATCAAATGAATGGAAAGAAAGAGGTGTCTGTACGTACTTGAGTCTGAAAGTTGAGAATGCGGACCTCTCCTGAATGCATACTCAGCAGAACCCTGGAAAAGGAGTTGTGTGGGTAAAGAAATAAGAATCAAGTTGGTTAGTTAAGAGAAATTAATTAGTGGGATTAATTAGGTGGATAATTTGATTTACCATGGCTGAGTTGGATGGAATTCTACCGACTTCACCCTCTCCGAGGCTTGGGAAAATGTTTTCTGCACCATACACAAACAATTCAGATTAGTATAATTAGCATTTTCTCTAGCAAGAGTACGATTTTGAAGGGGGAAAAAAAGGAGAGAGAGAGACATGGATTCTTTGCTACCTCAATTTGGAACGTCTGAGATTGAAACCAAAAGGAAAAAAAAAAAAAAAAGGGAGAGAGAATCATGTTAGTAAATTGAGTAGAAAGTGAAAACAGAATAAACTGGCGCTCAAGACATGAACGAGAATCTCACCATTGTTTTTCTTTCCTGCTTTCACAAAGATAGACAAAGTTGATGGCTGAAAATAATGGCAATTTCGATGCATATTTATATACAGAGCAGATGAATCCTTCGTGGCTAAGGAAAGAAAGCTGATTTTGATCACAGGATGGGTCAACAACATAATTGATTGTTCAATTTCTTTCCATGGAGACTTTTCTGCCGGCTCCATGGATCGCATCATCAAATGCATGCTGGCCGTTGATTGCTACACGTGGAGTGAATCGACGGCTACTACTTGAGTCTTGCTAAAGCGTGTGGATTGTCAGACTGTGCCATGAATGGATGGAAGTCGCTCTCTTAGAGAAGTCGAATGGCTGCCTTGTTCTCCGAAGGAGACTATATCCTTATCGGAAGAACCTTGTTAAGAAAGAGCATTCCAAAAAGGTTGTACATTTTACTTTGTTTTCTAAGGGTTAATCAATTCTAACAAAAATAGGGTTTGATTTCTCTGATTGTTATATTGTGGTGAATATATACATGTATTATATTATATATGTATGGATGAATTTTATGTGTTGTGGACTACAACTTTGGTATATGTAATTGTGTTTTCAATAATTAAAAAGAAAGGTTATTTTTAATGAAAATATCATTTGGACTTCTTCTTTTGAAACGGTACTTTTTAGAGGATAAAATTGAAAAAAGGGGATAATATCGGACTGGGAGGTTGGAAAAAAGATCACTACTTCGATTAAGGATGACAATGGACCAGGTCGGGGCTGTATAGTTCATATCCATTACCCTACCCAAAATAATTCTGATTTTACCCATATCCATACAAGAATCTGGTAGAATATCAAAATCATTTCATACCCTATCAGGTTTTGGGTATCCACGGTTAACCATATATATTAATTTATCTTTATAGTTTCAACCAATGTGTTAACAATTCACATATATTGACATTAAATAAGAAAAATTTTAAACAATAAATTACTAAAATGAAAAAAAAAATATAATTTCATGAAAATATTATATATGATTGCTAAATATAAAATATATTGAGAATATAATTATTTGTAAACAAAATAAATATTAATGTGTATGTGTATAATCAGACAAGTTCAAGTTGGATAGTGAGAAAATCACGCGCACCTATCACTCACAATATTTGGGTTCGGCTTTTACCCAGACTCATTAAATCTCAAGTCCTCCTTCGTTGCTTGGAGCGGGCACCTTTGCCCGAACCACTGCCCTCCTCATCCTACCTAAAGCTTCATCAATCCCTCTAAGAAACAACACAAGGAGAGGAAAAATGATGAGCCTTCTATTGCCTGCCTATAGGATATTGAAGGCCTCATGTAGAGATAGGTTTGATCCCAAATCCCTCATATATCACTCATATTAAATTTACTAATCCAAACGACCCCTAAGTGATTATGTAGAAACTAGTTAGCGATATACACAATTTAGTGTGATATTATTTGAAACAATCTTAATCAAATAAGATTGATCTCAATGAGATCAATGGAGCCTCAAGATCTTCTACTGGAGATAAGGATGTAGAACAAGTTTAAAATTCTAAGGACGCAATATTTTTTACAGGGTTTGAATTTGATGCAATGCTTTACTTCCCCCTGAGGCCAATGTAGTAGGCTGATCTTATTGCAAGTTAACTTGGTTTAGTGAGTCTTTTCAACAATCACGCGCCACACAACTAAGATCACTAATACTTTATGTTTTATGTGTAAAGCTATCATCACGTTACTGACGCATGGTTACTGTTAGTCTTATTATTTTAATTCTCACCCACATCCTTAAGTAGTCAAACAAGTGTATGGCAAATGGAAATCGCCAAAGCTTCATGTTTCAATGTCATAAAATAGAACTAAAGATTGAGAGTAAGAATCGAGTTGTCACAAAACTGAAAACAAAACAAAAATAGGAAGTGGAAAAACAAAATTAAGTAAAAAAGAAAGGAGAGTGAATGACGGAGAGTGAATGAAAGGGAGAGGGTACAACACAAGGAGGTGCAAGTAGTTCGGGAGTTTGAAAGAACCATTCCCCCATAAATTCTAAAATTAGATACTCAAAAATAATTCTAGGGGAGGTGGTTATAAAAAAGAGCAACTAACAATGCAAACAAATCACCAAATTTCTCTCACTTGTCTTCCTTCCCATTGCCTTCTCTAATGTTGTCTATTTAAGCAAAGGGAGCTTCCCTGACCCATAAGACGCCAATAGTGCGACAACAAAGAATAAAACACTCATCCCAACTCAATAAAACACCACATTTGTGTACGTAAAAAGAAAAAAAGAAAAAAGGCACAAAACAAAAGTCAAAAAGAGAATAAAGAGAGTGGCTGCTGCTGGGTACAAAAAAAAAAAAGAGACAACGATGGCTATTAGCTTGGAGGAAATCAAGAAGGAGAATGTTGACCTTGTGAGTCATTTGATAATAAATGTGTAACATGTCCTCAGTTTCTGTGTGCATGAGTGATTTCTAACATTAATACTAATGTGCGTACATATAGGAGCGCATTCCGGTCGACGAAGTGTTTCAACAACTACAATGCTCAAGGAGCGGCTTGACATCTGATGAAGGACAGAAGCGACTTCAAATCTTCGGGCCCAACAAGCTCGAAGAGAAGAAGGAAAGCAAGTTCCTCAAGTTCCTTGGCTTCATGTGGAACCCTCTTTCATGGGTCATGGAGATTGCAGCCATCATGGCCATTGCTTTGGCTAACGGAGGAGTACGTTGCATATTTATCCTAATTCATTAATTTTTTTCATGATCCGAATGGGTGAGAGCAAATGTGATGGAGCCATTTGAGTGACTTCTCAAATATTTTTGCAGGGCCAACCACCAGATTGGCAAGATTTTGTTGGTATCGTGACACTCCTCATCATAAACTCCACTATAAGTTTCATCGAAGAAAATAGTGCCGGCAATGCCGCAGCTGCTCTCATGGCAGGTCTAGCTCCCAAGACCAAAGTATTAAGAGATGGGAAATGGGCGGAGCAAGATGCCGCCATCTTGGTGCCGGGTGATGTCATCAGCATTAAATTGGGTGACATTGTCCCCGCTGATGCTCGTCTCCTCGAAGGAGACCCTTTAAAGATTGACCAGTCTGCCCTTACCGGAGAGTCCTTGCCTGTCACCAAAAACCCAGGCGATGAAGTTTTCTCTGGCTCCACCTGTAAGCAGGGTGAGATTGAAGCCGTTGTCATCGCCACTGGAGTCCACACCTTCTTTGGAAAGGCTGCTCACCTGGTTGACAGCACTAACCAAGAAGGACATTTCCAAAAGGTTAATTTAAACCATCATAAATTAATATCCACCACCTATTTCTTGAAATTCTTGAACGAACTGATAATTTTGTTTTTGTTTTCTGCAGGTATTGACGGCCATTGGGAACTTCTGCATATGCTCGATCGCATTAGGTATGATGGTTGAGATCATTGTAATGTACCCAATTCAACATAGAAGGTATAGAGACGGAATCGACAACCTCCTAGTGCTTCTCATTGGAGGAATCCCGATCGCCATGCCCACTGTGTTATCAGTGACGATGGCTATCGGATCCCATCGTCTCTCGCAGCAAGGCGCCATCACCAAGAGAATGACAGCTATTGAGGAAATGGCTGGGATGGACGTCCTATGCAGTGACAAAACTGGGACTCTCACTCTTAACAAGCTCACGGTCGACAAAACTCTAGTCGAGGTCTTTGTGAAGGATTGTGACAAGGAACAACTATTGCTTCTTGGAGCGAGAGCATCCAGGGTTGAGAATCAAGATGCAATTGATGCTTGTATCGTTGGGATGCTTGGTGACCCCAAAGAGGCCAGAGCTGGAATCCAAGAGATCCATTTCTTACCTTTCAACCCAGTTGACAAAAGAACTGCAATTACCTACATTGATGGACAGGGAAACTGGCACAGAGTTAGCAAAGGTGCTCCAGAGCAAATCATTGAACTTTGCAAACTTTCTGAAAGTGCTAAGAAGAAGGCTCTTGCCATCATTGACAAGTTCGCTGATCGTGGCCTTCGCTCATTGGCTGTTGGCAGACAAGTAAATATCATTGCCAGTAAAAACTCATTTCATTTTTTATATCCATACTATGACTAAGTGATTTTTTCATTGTTATTTTTGTTTCTAGACTGTGTCAGAGAAGACCAAGGAAAGCGCCGGAGATCCATGGCAATTCGTTGGTCTATTGCCCCTCTTTGATCCACCAAGGCATGATAGTGCCGAGACCATTAGGCGAGCTCTCCACCTTGGTGTTAACGTGAAAATGATCACTGGTGACCAGCTGGCCATCGGAAAAGAGACAGGGCGTAGGCTTGGTATGGGAACCAACATGTACCCATCCTCTGCTCTTCTTGGAGAACACAAGGACGAGTCTATCGCTACCATTCCGGTGGACGAGCTTATCGAGAAGGCTGATGGGTTCGCTGGGGTGTTCCCGGAACACAAGTATGAGATAGTGAAGAGGCTTCAAGACATGAAGCACATATGTGGTATGACAGGAGATGGTGTGAATGACGCTCCAGCACTGAAGAGAGCAGACATTGGGATTTCTGTGGCTGATGCAACTGATGCAGCCAGGGGTGCCTCAGACATTGTCTTGACCGAGCCAGGGCTAAGTGTGATTGTAAGTGCAGTGCTCACCAGCAGAGCCATCTTCCAAAGAATGAAGAACTACACAATTTATGCAGTCTCCATCACAATCCGTATCGTGCTTGGATTCATGTTGATTGCGCTCATATGGAAATTTGACTTTTCACCCTTCATGGTTCTCATCATCGCCATCCTCAATGATGGGACAATCATGACCATCTCCAAGGACAGAGTGAAGCCGTCCCCATTGCCTGATTCTTGGAAGCTTAAGGAGATCTTTGCCACAGGAGTTGTTTTGGGGACATACTTGGCCATCATGACCGTTCTCTTCTTCTTTGGCGCTTATGGATCTGATTTCTTCAGCGTAAGACATAAAAATGAAAAACAAAAAACCATATAGTTGATGTTATACTGATCCTAATAAATGAATTTGTATTCAACTCAATTTGCAGG